GAAAAATCCAACTCACGTTTCTCCAAGTTTCAAACAATAGATGGGCTTGGTGTTTATATAGCAATTAAAAGTGTAGTGTTAAGGAAGGTATAGTGAAACCTGTATATGATTTATAAAATAAATTTCATATGTAAAATTTTTAATAATTAATGTCAAATAATAAGCAAATTCAGAAAAAGAAAAATATTAATGGAATTAAGTTAAAAAAAATCTTCCCTATTGGTGTTTTTTGCCGATTTTTATCTTTTATTAAAATATTTATCAGCTTGAAATACATTTATATTTTAAAAAGTAAGAAGATGATATTTTGTTTAACAATTTGTTGAACAAATAAGTCAATTATGATAATAAAAATATTTATGAATTAAGGTTAATGTATAATAATTAAACATGCCACTTAATTAATACTAAATTAATAATACATTGATTACTAGTATAAAATAAGTATGTCAATCTCGTATCATAATTGGGTCAAAGCCTAACAAAAGTTTAACAGCCGTACGACCGCTTGTTCAACTTTCTGAAGACTGCTTGTCAACAACACCAACTCAAACTAGCACCACAGATATTCATCACTGACTTTGAGGTAGCAATACGTAATTCCAGCCAACGAGCATTCGCCAACATCACACTGAGAAGCTGCTTTTTCCACTGTACTCAATGCATATGGAGGAAGACACAGAAACTGGGACTCGCCACCGCTTACAAAGACAACGACGACCTACGACTATACGAGTAAGGCGTGCTGCAGTGTAACCCCCTGTCCCACCAGAGCTAGTTCAAGATGTATTGTTTACAGCATTAGACGCCGAAGATATCGCCATCGAAACAACCGCTGACTATGTCACAGAGTACTGGGTAGAAGGAAACAACCGCCAATAATGGAACCATTTCAGCAACGAAGGACCACGCACAAACAACCACTTAGAGGGATGGCACAGCAAACTCAAGAAGCATGTCAACTATGCGTACCCAAACATCTACATCCTGATTGAAGTTCTTAAGAAGACCCAAGCCAACACAGAAGCCAACTCGATACAAGTAGCAGCAAGCGGGACTCAGCGACCAACATCTTTGAAATACAGAAACATCAACAACAGACTATCAACACTGAAAGAACGTTTTCTTCAAGGTGAACTTAACCGTCCAGGACTACGCTGAACAAGCAACATTCCTCCTCCACATGGAATTTCGACAGTAGTGTAGTGTATTGTATTGACAATTTGGTAATAAACTCAATATATTTGTAAAGTACATGTATAATACTTTTCGTTTTATGAATTATTCACTGTGTCCAATTTCAAATAATGGTGTAAAGCTATTAAAGTTTCGCTAAATTAATGCATTTTTTGTGCAAATTTATGTTTTAATTACATGACTTGATGAATTTAAAAATATATTTTTTGTGTCTAATTTAAAGTTTATTGTGCATAATTTGTTGAATTATACTATTAATTTTTCCTCAAGTTAAAGCATTTGCTGTGCATAAGTTCAAGATTTTCTAGAGTATTTGTCTATTAGTGCTTATATTGTTTATAAAAAAAAGGATTCTGTTGTTTGTATGATATTAGTGCTCTTCAATGAATGTATATACATTTTCTAATTTTGACTTTTTCATTTGGTATTATTATATTAATCAAAAGTTCCCTTGAGCGGAATTTACTGAAACTAAAATTACAGGTAAATTCCGTTAATCCCTATAATGTCAAAAAATCACGTTTCTCCAACAAGAAATTCTTTACCTGTATACAAAAATATAAAATGTTGGAGAAACGTGCACACACCACTATCTCTATACGGGTTTATAATTAGGTGATATACTAAATAGTGCTTTCGAAATTGGCCGTTTCAGAATCTAAAGAACAAAAGTAATCTCATTACTCCAAAATGAGAATAACGTCACGTCATTGGTTTAATTTCAACTGTTTTGGACGTTGTAAGCCAATCACAGCGTTTTGGTGTACGCTTTTGAAAATATTACCCAGATTCGATTCTGAAATGGCGAATTAGCAAAATAGATATATTCGATCTTCAGTCTTTTATGAACTATGTTAATCTCACTGATACATGAATTCGATAAAATATACCTAAAATGGCTATTATGCAAAATGGTATTTGTCAAATTAAAATGCTTGTTACAGATAGACAATGAAGCAGTCGTTGATACATTTTTATTATGAATATTTTGCTTGAACTTGTGTTTAAGTTATCTATTAGTCCGTTATTATAAGTAATGTAACACTCATATAGTACTTCCAAACTATTGCACTACCTATCTTAGTACCATAATTTTACAGTACAAGATGTATGCTACAAATTTGAAGTGCCAGTTTTGTACTTCAACTGTGATGTACTAAAATATAGACACAACACATCGTACTTATTTAGGTAAGGATAAGGGCCAATTTCCGCTGTATTCGTTTTCACAGGGTCAAAAAAGTAAAGTTGGTCAATACTACAGGATAGTATATTGTTTCACAATTTAGTATCCATTGTATTTCTATAAAATCAAAATGTTATACAGCGTTATGTGTTGTTGTTGAAGGCATTATGATACAAAACGGTCAAAATAGAAAATTTTATTTGCTTTTGTTCAATTTCAAAACCAAGGAAATCGCTTACCAAAATGAAAAAAAAAATGCATTCGAAAGACAATACACAGATTTACTTCCAAAATACTTTTGTTTGGTTTAACAATGTACTTTTTATACATTTTTGGGATAAATATTCAAAATTGCTATTTTTTGCCATTCTTAAGTCAAAATATTGCTGGAATCTTAAAGTACACAAATGTTTCAATGTAACTATGAACTAGAGTGTAGATTGGAAAACTTTTGAAAATAACCAAGGTGTGAAATAAATCAGGATAAATTTGCCCTACTTCTTTCCCTTTCACTTAAAAAATAATAATACTTCCGTAATGAACTGATACAAAATAGTTTTTGTATATAAATGGTTCTACATGATAAAACTACAAAACTGGTACTTAAAACTGGTAGTAAGAATCCAGGACTGTAAATTTATGAAGCTAAACTATTACAATAATTTTAAAGTACTTACACATTACAATATTATTTCAAGTATTATATTTTCAGTACTTAAACCTTAATGCAAAGTAGCTGTGCATTATATTAATGTATAGATATAATAATTTTAATCGCCCTTCTCCTTAAACGTGCAAAGGCTGATGCTGCTATCATATTTGTCCACAACTAACAACATCATAAAATATATTTTTAAAACTATCTCATGATCAGCATAAGACAATGACATTTGTGTTCCAGACTGAGGAGAAATTTTCAAGACCTATCCTAGTTGCAGACCAGCATAAGACTATGACATTTGTGTTCTTGACTGAGGGAAATTTTTAAGATCTATCCTAACTGAAGACCAGCATAAGACAATGACATTTGTGCTTTTGACTGAGGGAAAATTTTCAAGACCTTTCCTCGTTGAAGACAAGCATAAGACTATGACATTTGTTCTTTTGACTGAGGGGAAATGTTTAAGACCTATCCTAGTTGAAGACCAGCATAAGACCTAGTTAAAGAACAGCATAAGACAATGAAATTTGTGTTCTAGACTGAGGGAAATTTTTAAGACCTATCCTAACGGAAGACCAGCATAAGACAATGACATTTGTGTTCTAGACAGAGGGAAAATTTTATGACCTATCCTAGTTGAAGACCAGCATAAGATGACATTTGTGTTCATGACTGGGGGAAAATTTTAAGACCTATCCTAGTTGAAGACAAGCATAAGACTATGACATTTGTGTTCTAGACTGAGGGAAATTTTTTAGACCTATCCTAGTTGAAGACCAGCATAAGACCTCGTTGAAGACCATGTTTAATAAACCCAACCAAGACAACATATGTCCACAGATGGTCCTACGATATATCCTTTACTTTCGACTTATAGGCCTGGTTGATATTTGGAATCCTCTAGTTTTATATTAGTTGCCGATGCTCGGAAATCCTTATGATATTTTTTCAACAATTTGCGGCTATGGTCCGTAAATTGTCTAAAACTGTCCGAAAATTTTCAAAAAATATCATAAGGACCTAAGAACTACGGCTCCGCAGCTAGTTTTATCCATGCCATGCCATTAAAAATATTGCTCCCTTACCCCTACTTTTTTTCATAATATAATTACGTATAGTTTATTAAGCCATATAAAATTCTTGTTACTTTTTTATAGATTTATGAAACAGAGGAGCGAACATCATTAAGTCTTGCCATATTTTTTACGTGTATCCTTATAGCGAGTTTTAATTTTGATTTGGCTTTCTTATTCAAATTTCAACTCGACTTAACGATTTCATATCTGTAGCAAAACAATATTGTGAAATACCTCCCTTCAATAAAGAAGTTTGGAAAAAAAATAATCTGTTTTATGTTTCAAAGGTGTGCATCATATTAGTATCTTGATTTCCAAAAGACAAGCTTTTAAATTGTGTGGGTTCAATACCAAGCTGGTTCAAACAAGACATTTCAGAACTGGTATTTGATTCTCCGGCAAGCACATATGGGGTGTGAATGGGGGTTTACAGAATATAGATTAATGGGCAAAAAATATAAAGAATAGAGAATAATAAGGTGCTAAAAAAAAGAAATAGAGAATAATGGGCAAAAAATATAAAGAATAGAGTAAAATGGCCTAAAAATATTTAAGGATACAGAAATGGAGGACCCCTATCCACACCCTCGCACATGATATTTATGTGTAACACCATGTACTATTTGGCTCGGAGTTAGTCTTTTTGGAGCAAGGATAACTATTGATTTCTATAATAGCCATTTACCTGCTAAATTTTTCTATAGACCTATTCTATATCAATAAGAGCATATTTGCATATTAAGCATGTTCATATGTTAAATTTTTATTTTATATATACAAAAATAGAAACTGTGGTAACCAAAAAGTCGTACGTGGTTCTGCCAATATATCATTTACAAAAGTGACCCTAACATATTAATCAAAATAATACAACAACGTTGTAGAATGTCCTTTATTTCGTATGACTCTACTAAAGCTTTTAACCAATCACATTTATATCTGCATCCCTGAAATATAATCAAAAATGATTTAAGGGTATGCAATTTAATCATGTTTAGCCTATAAGGTTCGTCACGTTAAAAAATGAAAACTTTAAATCTTACTGAAATGTTCTGCATATCATGTACCTTGAAGCATTCTATTCATTTTGGAAATAAGTTTTGCTATAACAAAAAGTAGTTGATTGCCCCATTAATTAGTAGCGTTAAAATAACATTAGTCACAAACGAGAGGCGGAAGATGATGATGATGATGATGGATGGCTGCTTGACGTCCAGCGGCAAATTAATATGCATATTTAGGACGAGAACATATTAATGTAATATGCATATTAACCCTGCTTTGTACTAGACCGACACGCTGAGCCGGATTTTTAACGTGCTAGTTCACAAGGTAACAGTCCGCAGGAAGACATGTCACCTTACCCGGACACATTATTCTGATTCCGAGCCGACCAGTAGAGGCGGAAGATACCGAAGGGTTATTAAATTAAAACTTACAGGTCAAAGACAAACTGACAACGCCATGGCTAAATATACGAAAAACGACGAAAAGACAAATAACAGTATACAAAACACAATAAAGAAAGGTAGACACCAAGCAACATGAACTCAACCAACAATTAGGTGATCTTATGTGAGGCTTGTATTGGGTAGATTGGGATACGGGATATTTGCCATTTTGATTTTAGGGATATGGGATATTCGTCCTAAAAATAAATGGGATATGGGATATTGATGCATTTTTAAGGATATTGAATTTTGAACATGAAAAAAAATGTGGAGTTTAAAAGTTAAGTACAGAAATATTTACGTCTCACTTGATAAAATGCCAAAAATAATTTACTAGAAAGTCTTAGGGATGTTGTGAATGAAACGGAACCTTTATTCAAGGCAAAATTCTCGCTGAAAAGTACATCCACAACTATTGTTGAAAATCTTTTCTCTGAGATGAGAGCAATCGAAGACACACCACTAATGATACAATTCGCTCCCAGATTTTTAAATTGTGTACGAGAACTATTTAAAAGAATCTTGTATTATACTAGCGAGTATTCACATTACGAAAAAATTTCAAGTTATTGCTTGAATTATCATTCTCTGGAGCAAATGTCTCAGCCCAAAGAAGTAAAACTTTCAGACACAAAAATAATTGCAATGGAAAGTAGAAAATGGACAATGTGTTCGCCAGTTAACAGTAAGAAACATGAGCACCAAAGACCACACAGGAACTCTTCCTTGATTTGTTATTTAAGGAAACCTCCAGATGTTCATGAGCTAGATTTTTTCAAAATTAAAAGTGGATGTATAAGAAACTGTAGGTACTACAGTTGATATCCAGGAAACCAGAAATGTAATCTATAGCAAAGAATCAACAGTAGGTGTTTTTAAACGTGATATCAAAGGTCTACCATCTAGTCCTTTTTACATTGTCCTAACATCAGATTGCTATAAAATGCCTGATGATGCCAAATTTGTTTCAGGAAAGCGGTTTGCTCAGGACAAAATTCACCCTCTTGATTTCGTTGAGTGTAATACAGAAACATCAGAAATATTTATAGTAGAGAGTGTTATCGAAATTTTACTATTAGATGACTTTCAAGCTGAAGACGCTGTAATAGTAATTTCTGAAGATTCCTATTATGCATGCATGACATAAGTGTGTATAGGATCAGATATAAATGATGTTACATTACAAGAAGAGGTGGAGATGGATTTAGAGGAGGAATCTGCAACCAATGTTGCCCGTTTACCCACGAGAGGAAAGAGGAAGCGAAAACCTCGATCTGACACTGACTTCATGTTTTACTGATTTAGTGATAACTACTGTTAAATAACATGCTTATCTCTTCTGTAACTTTTTATTTATCCACTGACGTTACAAACGCTTAATTATATATTGGTTATTCCAGAGTCATGTAGATTAAAATTTAACTGAGGTCTCTGGTTAATGCTGAATGGTTAACTTTTTTCTGTGAAAAAGCCCATATCCTTACTACAACGCATACAACATGTATTTACGAATGTTGTATACAAAAATGGGTTTGGGAATGAATTAATGATTTTTTGGGATATTTCAAAATAGTTTTATAGATACGAGATATTTGTAAAAAGTATTTATTGGGATATTAGGGGTAAACATTATAGGGATATGGAATAATGGGACAAAAACTTAATGGGATATGGGATACTGTTACCCGCCACCCCCCCCCCCCCCCACCCCCCCCCCCCCCCCCCCCCCCCCAAACACGCCTCTTATATGCTACGGAAGGATAATCAGATATTACAACTCACTCTTTCTGACAGGTAAACAAATAACGTGATGTGCAAGAAAAGTCGTTCCATGAACCTTTGCCATCCCAGTTGAACAGAACACAATCTTCGTCTGTATTATCTAGACCAGTTGCAATATTGTTATTTGGTTCTCCGGGAAACCAAAATGTTGTTGAAACAATCTGTTGTGTTGAAATGAACATCCAATGTGTTTCCTTGAAAACATCAGATATTCCGATCCAATATTTGAAATGTTGTCGAGGATCTTAAATACAAATGCAGACGATATATACCATGAAAACTAGATCAAAGTTGGTAGCTGATACCAAATATTACTATTCTATCAATATATTTACTATTTGAATTCAATTTCATTTAATCTTTAAATATGCATGAGTGATATTTTGGGCCGCATGTCGCGGTTGTGTTCTATTATTTGTATAAGATTGACGTAAAGCTCCGATTTTTTGTCAAGATTTTATTATACGCAAGTCCTTTTTGTTGTTTTTTTTCATCTCTTCAACGGTTGTATGAGGTTAGGATTTAAATTTCAAATATTTTTGTCTCGCGCATTAATTTACTGAACAGACATTAATTGTCGAAATGCGCATCTGGTGAGGTAAAATTGGTGCCGTTAATGTATTTAGATTAAAACTACCCCTCGTTACTTTTTGCAATCAATCAAATCAAATTGGAATAAAGGAAATACCTTATTTTTAATCTACAGACATAATAAAAACTGAAATAAAATAGCAAGTACTCACATGATGAATTCCTTGGAATTTGACTTACTAAGAAATTTTGCACGTCCGCCGAGGATGGTTCTGCCAATGTTCCAAACACAGACGAGCACACAGCCTATAATGAGATAAAGACAGAATATTTCTATTTCGTTAAATGTATTTGTTTTCTTTCTGAACAGTGCGTATAGGTCGAATTGACAATTTTTATGAAGTTCTCAATGAATCATATGGAATATTACGAATATATAATATAAGTTTTTTTTTATTTTTGTGCCGTTGGGCTGCTGTCTCATTAATTTATATCCGACATTTTTTAATTGTATAATACAATGTTTGGTGACTGTTATAGTATATGCACAGTTGCAGGTCACTAAAGATTGATTGGTGATTGCTTTACGCCGCATCAGCTCAAAAAGGCTATATCGGGGCGAGACTTTGGCACCTAAAAGAATTGTAGTTAATAGAAATATACATGCGTGTTTTCTTTTTATTATTACAAATGGACAAGTTAAAACGTTTAAACCCGCTGCATTTGTATGCACCTGTCCTAAGTCAGGAACCTGTTGTTCAGTGGTTGTCGTTTGTTGATGTGGTTCATAAGTGTTTCTCGTTTCTCGTTTTTTATTTAGATTAGACCGTTGGTTTTCCTGTTTGAATTGTTTTACACTAGTCAGTTTGGGGCCTTTTATAGCTTGCTGTTCGGTGTGAGCCAAGGCTCCGTGTTGAAGGCCGTACTTTGACCTATAACTGTTTACTTTTTACACATTGTGACTTGGATGGAGAGTTGTCTCATTGTCATTCATACCGCATCTTCTTATCTATAAGACATGTTTTCAATAGAACGGTGCTTGTAACTTTGCTAGACATGCATAAATCGTTGGAAACAAAATATTAAGCCCAAAACAGACCAGACAAAAACATTTAAATGTAAGTTACTGTTTCTTACAGCTTCTGTATCCATAAAATATATCAATAGACCGTTTGAAACTTAATCTCAGGCTTTCAGTATATATAAAAGATTGGTGGATTTCCAGTAACAACTCACCAATGCCTCATACCATGTTGCTTTATCGTGACTCAAAAAGTAACACATGTCATTATGTTGAACCCATCCATCAATGCATCCTTCTGAAACTGTATAAATATATAACAAATGGATATACACATGAATTACCTATAGGTACATGTACCAAATCGCGGTGAACATTAGTCTGATTAACAAAATATTATTTCTTGATTTTAAATTTTCTGCTGAATATGACTTTTTAACTTCTTATATTGCTTATATTTTTTTTATAGAATTTGAAAATAGTGAAAATGGGTCGTTTGACTCGTTTCAGTATATTTTTTATTTTTTTACCAAGAATATTTTTATAACAAAAGTGCTTGTGGCTGAGGTCTGTTAATTCTAAGACAAATTCTTAATATGTCGAAATTAAACATCGTTGAATAATCAGACCTATATCATTAAAATCAGATAACAGTATACTAATACACTTTCGTTACAACTGTAAATATACTTTCCTGACTATAGAAAAATTCATGAAAAAAAGGAAAAAGAAATAAAAATAGGAGAGCATGAATTAAACCCTCTTCAAAAGTATCTATCTTTGATATACCAATAAACAAGCATGATCCTAAAGTTGTTGTATATTTTACATGTATTGAATATGTATATGGTCGGTTTAGTCTGCAATTCGTCGTGTGAATCTAATAATGATGCATGTATGTCCCATTTGGTAATAGTGGTAAAAATTTAAATTAGAGTTTAAAAGCGCACTATCTTAAATATTTGACTGAGACATAAAAAGTTATATAGTAATCGAATTTACGTACATGAAGAGTAACTCTTTGTTCGATTGTTTTTGTAATAGACAAGCAATTAAGACAAATAAAGCATCCACTTTTTTCCAGATATCTAACATTTCACTACAACAATATAGCTTTAAAAAATTATCCCTATATTTTCATTGGAGAAAGAACTTGGATTTGTTTTTATCTTTGTACTACTGCCAATTCTGTACTGCTGGATTTGATAAGAATTGATCATAGATTGAGTTCAAACCATGCAAACCATTTAATCATAGTACTACGAAGATAATTTTGATAACAATTATTCAACAGCAAAAATACATGAGAAAAAGTGGAGATACAACACAATAATAATATTTTTCTCTAAACTAACTAGATGAATAAGTCATTATAATCCAATGGGAGTGTGGAGATAGAACAGTTTAGTTCTGACTATAACTCGTAGGGTGTAGAAATCTCGTATTATAGATATATATAGGGAGATCGACCATTGCACTTGGATCGCAAATATATAATTATCTCCATTTTATCAAAAGTGGACATATAACACTGCAAGATTCACACGACGAATTGTACTGTGACTTCGCGTTCATTTCAGTCCATTGTACAAGGCGAGTGTTAATGTACTGTGACTTCATGTTCAATAAAATGCAAAGCAATTTTAATCCCTTATATAAAATCGTGTTATATATTTTGACAAAGGCCTTTGGTGCATAAATTGAGGTTGCTCTCAGTTGACCTTTATTAGTTTTACGAAAATCCGTAATTAGTGCATTGTAGCATTATTGGACCTTTGTTGTTCAAAACTGGAAGTCACAGTACACCGACAACGCGAAGGCAAATTTCATAAAGGACAACATTTACATAGTATATAAACTAAGGTGGATTCAAAGCACTTTTCTTTGTTAACCTTCAAAGGGAATACACAAACCCAAAAATGTGAAGGTCAACGATGTGTAAATTGTTGAATACCGTAGGGATTTATGATTAAAGTGGACATAACAAAGACCAGCTAATCCAACCTAAAAGTCATGATGGAGTTGGAATCTTAGTTTCTGGAGGTATATGATAAAAGCCTTTACCTGAACCCTAAAATTACGAAAATACTTAAATGTCTCCAGTCCTTTCAAAATTATTTTTTTTATGTTCTATTGATGATCGAAAATGATAATATAATCTGGACATTAAAGAAAAGAAATGTCAGTTGCGGTGTCACCATGACGTCAATAACAGGTTGAAATGTACACGTGTTATCTAAAATTACCATTTATAACAGGTTTTTTTTAGATTGGATACTAGCCAATACCATATCCAAAATTATAGGTTGACCACATTCACCACTTGGTATGCACCATGTAGAAAAATACTTCTTGGCAAAGGCTTTAACTCATATCTCATAGCTATAAGATGTGGTATGAGTGCCAATGAGACAACTCTCCATCCAAGTCATATTTCAATAACAATTAAGAACAAAGATATAATAAACATGTGAAAGCTCTCTCACAGGCAAACTACCCATAATTGTAAAATATAAGGGCATACACCACAAGCACGGGCTCATGACTATTTTGATCATCAAATGCAAGTAGTTTGAAGTCCTTTCGAAAATTATTTTCAAAAGACACGTCAAAAATATAAGTCAGTACTGATATATCTGACAGACTATATTGTCTTGTGAGCATCTAAAGGATATTATATGATAGATTTATAATATTTTATCTTTTTAAAGGGGACAAAAAAAGTGGCCTTATCGCACCACTGTGTATCTTACCTTCTCCTTTCTATTAGATGTGATTGTGCTGAAAATGTATATATTGAAACAAAATAATAGACTGTTACGTCCCAGGCGGCACAATGGAACACAGGGGAATATATTCTATTTATCATTGAACAACCTGAACATGCATGAAATATTTGCCACTGGACGTTAAGCAACCAACAATCAATCAATATACAAATAGTTTATCATCATAGGTGCCAAGTTCTAATCTTTTTATATCAAATTTTAGTCCATGATAACGTTTCTGATGTTTCAAAATAATTGAAGTCATAAAACAAAAACAAAACTAACTCAACTGAGGCTTGGATAATCTGCTCTCAAAAACAAATTGGGATGTGTAACGTGAAAAGATACGAATTACCGAAAACGCTCTTCTTCAAATAATTTGCAGTCTCTTACTCTAATCAGTTACAGGAAAGTATTGTTAACTTTAGTGTCAATATAAATGGATTTGTATATTATCAATTATGTAATATAAAGTTCTTGAGAGTGTGTTCCTCGAAATTTATAATATTTAAAGCATTTTATGTATTACGGTAGATAACTCTATATCAAAATAAGGATGAGTGGTATAATTGTCAATAAGACAACTGTCCATTGTCTAAAGAACAAAGATGTAAACAATAACTGGTCAATGTACGTCGTTCGACAATGCAAATCCCATGTCTTAACGATAGCATTTAAGGCCAAGATATGAAAAAAAATGAATCAATTCTAAAGAAGAAAAACTCAACGGCCTGAGTTATACTACACCAATGAACGGTAACACTATGTTCGACAGCAAGCAACGACTATAACTGGATAACAGGTTCCTAGCTTGGGACAGGCACAATAAGAATGTGTCTGGGTTTAACAAATTGAACAATGTTGTGGTTCAACACAACATAAGAACACACACTGTAAAAACTAGTTGAAACGGACTTATTCATCAGACCGGTACGAAGCACAAAAATAAATAAAAAACAATGTTTGATTCATCATATCAGTACTTACCACAAAATCTAATTTAAAAACAAAAGACACAAACTATCGATCTCAGAGCATATTAGCATTTACTAAAAGCTAGTTCAAAGCCCAATTTCAACTAATAAATAAAGCACGTTCTCCTAGATGTAAAATGTCAATCAGTACACCACCGACACGACGGGATTTAGTGTTAAGACGTCACTTACTGTCTGAAAAAGCATGTACAGGTGCAATTCCTAAATATATGTATCGACAGGATGTATGACCATAAGTGTTTATGTGGTAATAAGATCTGGGATTGTTCTTATCCTTGGGAAATTAGATTTCCCAGCAATTTCATGCGAGTTGATTCAAATTTTAACTTCAGTGAAAATGTGTAGACTAACTATTTCTTTATAAATTTCCGGTTTCCGTTTGATTGATATCAAATAAGGTCACCGACTTCGTTTTGGTGTATAAACCAATATCTGTTACCGTATCGGTAGTCAAAAACATAGAAAAACGATGCCAGTTTTATGGCTTTACAAGGCGACGACGTTACGCTTATTTGGACAGTTTTTTTCACTAAAACCACCACTTTGATTGGTGTATACTATTTAAAAAAAAACGAAGTCGGTGAACCTATTATTATTTTACATAATTAAAACTGAACTTTGTTCAAGGAATGACTGTAATATTTTTTCTTGGTTATTTAAAAGTGTGCACCACATTTTTGAGACTATTTCGAATAGACAGAAAAATATTAGTCATTCCTTATAATTTAATTCCAAGTTCAATTTTAAGGAGTAAATCATGAAAAACGTTGATGACGTCACGGTCACATGACAAAATTGTGTCTTTGAGCTGATAGAAAAAAACGTTCAGCCAATCAGAAGACGTGTTACATCCAAAATTAAATTATATGGTAATAACATATCAATTTCAAAGAAACATCTATAGCCTAATGAACTTGATGAAGAGAAATGGGTCGTTGTAGATAATTTTGGCTAAGTTTTTCTTTTATTTTTATGTAAATTCTATACAAATGTTGAACTGCATTAAGGATTTTAATTCAATAATATTTTAGCCAGTAAAAAAGTAACATGAATATTTTTTTTTTCGATTTTCAAATTGCCAAAGGTATTCAAACTTTCACCGAAATATAACAGATAAGACATGAACCAAGTACTGTTCCTTGACCTTAAATCATTTGTTTTTGCTTAATAAAGTTGGACATTATGTTCGAATTTAACTGATATTTGGACGGAATGGTTGCATGGATGAAAATATATTGCTATAAGATAATGCTGCTTCGTTTTAAGATAATGTATCGTATCAATTTTACCTGTTATATACAATCCAGCAAAAAGAACTGCGTAAATAAATCCCATCCTGTCTATAGAAATAGATTACTTATAAGTTCTAACAGATAAGCAATATTTGGCACATTTAAGACAAGTTCAAGTTCAATATTCTATTGTCAATCAGAGACGCCCATCATAGTTGCATTCTGGTTTTTTTCTCGGTATAAAATAAAACACGATTTTGACACGATATTTTCAACATCGCGATATCGATGTGAACGATCTA